ACAAACAGAACAGGCAATATACTTTATGACCAATTAAGCTATGTTTGTTATTTTGTTATTTGTGGTGAACTATTTTTGCTGGATATCTTTCGGGAAGAAAGTAATGTTAAAAAGCATCCATAGAATCCAAGATGACAATTGGTTGAGGTAAAGGTGGCCGTCTGTCAGTTCTGATTAGTATAGTTGTGTTCCTACTTTGTAGTAAGTTGTAAACAGTGGATAGTTAACATTGTATTTAAGGACATGTGTGATACTGGTTTATCAATGCAAATATTATTTAGCTATCTAATTCTGATTCCAAGAAGTAACTTTTAAATTCTTCAACAGTGGACTATGTATAGTTGTAACCTAAGTTGTGCATAAAGCGTGAAATGTTCGCCAAGTCAAGTTTTGCTCTACGCTGGTAAAATCTGTATTCGCCCAGTGTTCATTTCGCTCTTAATAAACATTTGATTTCTACGTTTAATATGTTGTTTACTAATGTTCTTGATCATGATAAATTCACTCTCATTACGAAGAGCGATTAAAGCGAAGGTTGAACTGAGGCGAACATCTCTCGGTATACAGTATATAGGAATAAATATTCCTGGAATGTTCTTGTTATGTGTGGTATTGGGCTATTGGTGATAAACATAAAATTAGGAAGAGTTCATGTAACATTACATGATGTGTAACAAATCAAATAACATACAATGTATAGAGAGAATAATTTGTCTTTTAGGGAAACATTGTGTTAATCTATAGGTGATTAACCAATGTTACATTGAACAATTTGATAGAGAATCTGTAGCCAGGGATTGTAATATCATTGTTAACAGAATCTGTAGCCAGGGATTGTAATATCAATGTTACCAGAATCTGTTGCCAGGGATTGTAATATCAATGTTCATAGGATCTGTAGCCAGGGATTGTAATATCAATGTTAACGAAATCTGTAGCCGGGGATTGTAATATCAATGTTAACAGGATCTGTAGCCGGGGATTGTAATATCAGTGTTAACAGAATCTGTAGCCAGGGATTGTAATATCATTGTTAACAGAATCTGTAGCCGGGAATTGTAATATCAATGTTAACAAAATCTGTAGCCAGGGATTGTAATATCAATGATAACAGAATCTGTAGCCAGGGATTGTAATATCATTGTTAACAGAATCTGTAGCCGGGAATTGTAATATCAATGTTAACAAAATCTGTAGCCAGGGATTGTAATATCAATGTTACCAGAATCTGTTGCCAGGGATTGTAATATCAATGTTCATAGGATCTGTAGCCAGGGATTGTAATATCAATGTTAGCAGGATCTGTAGCCAGGGATTGTAATATCAATGTTAACATAATCTGTAGCCAGGGATTGTAATATCAATGTTAACATAATCTGTAGCCAGGGATTGTAATATCAATGTTAACAGAATTTGTAGCCAGGGATTGTAATATCAATGTTACCAGAATCTGTAGCCAGGGATTGTAATATCAATGTTAACAGAATTTGTAGCCAGGGATTGTAATATCAATGTTACCAGAATCTGTTGCCAGGGATTGTAATATCAATGTTAATAGGATCTGTATCCAGGGATTGTAATATCAATGTTAACAGGATCTGTAGCCGGGGATTGTAATATCAGTGTTAACAGAATCTGTAGCCAGGGATTGTAATATCATTGTTAACAGAATCTGTAGCCAGGGATTGTAATATCAATGTTAATAGGATCTGTATCCAGGGATTGTAATATCAATGTTAACAGGATCTGTAGCCGTGGATTGTAATATCAATGTTAACAAAATCTGTAGCCAGGGATTGTAATATCAATGATAACAGAATCTGTAGCCAGGGATTGTAATATCATTGTTAACAGAATCTGTAGCCGGGAATTGTAATATCAATGTTAACAAAATCTGTAGCCAGGGATTGTAATATCAATGATAACAGAATCTGTAGCCAGGGATTGTAATATCATTGTTAACAGAATCTGTAGCCGGGAATTGTAATATCAATGTTAACAAAATCTGTAGCCAGGGATTGTAATATCAATTTTAACAGGATCTGTAGCCAGGGATTGTAATATCAATGTTAACAGAATTTGTAGCCAGGGATTGTAATATCAATGTTACCAGAATCTGTTGCCAGGGATTGTAATATCAATGTTCATAGGATCTGTAGCCAGGGATTGTAATATCAATGTTACCAGAATCTGTTGCCAGGGATTGTAATATCAATGTTAATAGGATCTGTAGCCAGGGATTGTAATATCAATGTTAACAGGATCTGTAGCCAGGGATTGTAATATCAATGTTAACCGACAGTGACTGTGTTTGTCACCGAGGCTTTAAAAGGGCACTTCTACATCACAGGGCTACTTGAGTTTTATGGTACAGAACTCTTTTATTTAGGAGGTAATTTTGGCATGGAAGTGCAATGTTCGCATGCAACAAAAAAAGGATAAAAAAAGTTCTTGTTAAAATAAAAACTGTTGTAATTGTACTCTCCCTCCCCAGTGATGTTTGATGGTAATTGTATTAAAGTTGAATCCATTTACAGAATCAGCTCCGACTCAGTAGGAAACACAAGTAGAAACATTTTCAGGAACATGAAATGAAAATTGGATTGGTGAAAAATTTCTGACAGTAGCATGCAAGGTATTTGGAAGACATTCTCACTGTATGTCAAATTTAAATCTGATTAAGAGAAAACATTTTTATTGGCGGGTCTTTACATCAGTTTCATACTGTGGGACACTAATAAACAGTTTCAATATCGATCATGTTCAACCTATAAAGGATTTCGATAAATAACAGAAAGATGTATTTCCATAAATGTTTAAAATTGACCTTGTAAAACAAAATAAATGGTTCTACTCACCTAGTTCTAGTGCATCAGTTCCTTGATTAAATTTCTGAGTATTTGAGTCTTTATGTGATAGATTTTAAATTCTATTCCTCTTATCCTGTATAATCGATAATATTTTGCATTTTCTCATACATTGTGCTGCCGAAGTTAGACAACAAAATGTGATAAAATTTAATGACAGTTTAGAACAATCGTAGGTAAATTTAAGGTCTCGGATACTGTAAGTGTAACTCGAGCCATTTGTCTCAGTTTCTGAGGAACAAAACTTTAAATTTTCTTGATGGAAATTGTTGAATAACTGAAAATATGAAATGAATAATGAATATGTCCTGTTTGTAATCTATATGCCATTGAGAATCAATAGAAATTGAATTGGTGTAGAAATGTTCGCAATTAAGATCTTCATTTGTGAGGGAATATAAAGATGCATGTCAGAGGCTTGAGATAAGTCAGACATGTTTTATGTTTATTGGTTTAATGACTGGGTATGGTTTAGCAAGCCCAAGCATTGGTATTGGTTTTAGTTGCTCCCCACCCCTTTAATTAAGGGCTGTGTTCCACCCAGAGAGCCTGAATTTATCTTGGTTTCTGTGATGTTTTTTGTTGTGCTGATTTTTTTTTTCTTTCTGAAATTATTCCAATCTACTATGCATTTTAACACATCGATCCTGCATTGTATCAAATTCTAGATAGACAGACATCATTGTTTGAAATGTAACACTTGCTAAGTTAAAGAAAAGAAAATTGGCACACATCAGTGATAAGTGAAATGATGTGTTTAATTCCACGAAACTTGAAACTCTAGAAACAAGGGAGGGCTTTTGCAGCTGAAATGAAATGATGTATGAATTCTTTGAAATTTAAATCTCACCGAGGAAATGAAGCTAATCCTGTTAAAAAAGACTGGATGACCTGCAGATTTGTCTAATTGGTTGATATATGGGTTGAGTATAAACATCATTGTGACATACAGATGGAGGCATGCACACAGATGGGGTACCTAATCTAATTAAATCCTGTGTTCTATCTGACATACTCCCTACTCCACCAATATCAGTGACAGGAAGCAACCCACTGTCTTTGGGTTTTTTTCTATCGAAAGTCTTTAAAGATGATGCCAGTCTTTTGAAGGACTACTTCCACAAAAAGCTGGTTCCAATTTGTACAGCAAGGTTGACTTGACCAATCAGGGTAGCATGACACAACAGCAATAGTTAAATGCTGTTAGATTAAACACTCAAAGGGCCCTGCATGAGAGATGCGGGTGCCCTACCTAGAGTTCCATTAATCCGTCCACACTTTCGTTTCTGAAGAATATCTCATAAACTAACAGACTAATCCTACTGAAATTTGACATGGTGATACATTGTGAAATATAGATGTGCAATAGGGGTTTAAACATTTTGTAACGTCAAGGTTATTGTTACTTGACGTCGACAGGGGGGGGGGGGCTACCTAACCTGTTGGTGTTCTAGTTAATTGTAATTTATGAAGACAGTACCCAATTGTGCGGCTGAGTAGACTGTTCTTGCAAAACTGAATATCATGATGTTAAAACTCATTGTTTATAAAAAGCCTCAGTCATTATATTTTCCAACTCAAGCTTGACATTCTGTTGGAAGAATAAAAAAATCTCTGTAAAAAAAGTGTGTGTGTGGTTTGGTATAGTCTAATTGAGTAAGCAGCAACAATCTGTTGTTCTGTGTTGTAAGTTTTCATGTGAATACTTAAACGTTTTCATGACCTAGAAAAACATCCGTGGCAACTGTTCTGATTAAATAGTAATATGTTGTAAGTTTAGATAATCAGACCAACAACCAAAAAAACAGGTTTTATTTTGTGGTGTATGTGGTACCACTGTAGACATAAAACGCACGATTCTAATAAGTTGCTGTATTTTTTTAAATGACTGGAAGCATATGGAGAGTTGACACTGATAACCTTAAACTAGGGGAGATTGAGGCTCAGTATGGAGATGTAGTCAGGCAAAGAATGAGAAGTTCTGAAGATAGATAACACATTTTCTGCATTACTACATAACTACATACATGTTACTATCAGAATTTTCTCTTTATCATCTAGAGGGAGTGGGTAGAGTGGTGGAACAGCCAGGTTACCATGACAACCAAGCCAGAGGGCTCTCTGTTACTCCTGTTGAACTTTCTGTGAGGTGCCTAGCCTGTTTCTGTGAAGTGGGGTCCATCTGGTCTTACCATCAGTATACTCTAGGCTCTGTTTACACTGGCTAACTGTACCCCTGCTCTGTCCTTCAAGTCTTAGTAATACTCGCTCTGAGGGGATTTACTCAAAGTGCTGGAGTTCCAGTTCTGGTGTTTTTTTTATTTGTAGAGCTTTGGTTTGAGATTGAGGTAGGTACCATGTAGAAATTGACCTGTGCTTGCTTTACAGCATCTAAACCTGGGGATACATCTGTACAATGCATTGTTTTAAATCTCAGTTTCTTCTTTTGTTGTATGGAGTCGACTTTTCAGAGGTTTATCTGTGAAGTCTGGTAAACTTACAGAAGTTGAGTTGTACATTTCCAGAGCTTATGTGAATGCAGGATTTTATTTATTATTTTAATTTAATGATTTTAAAATTTCAGGCGGTTACATTTTAATTCTTAATTTTAACCTTTTCCACATTGATTAATGTCACATTTTGATTAATATCATGTTTTCCAAAACACCATTTTCTCTCTAAATATATTGTATATAATTGTATTTGGTTTATAGTATGCGTTTTGATATAACATCCTTTTGCTAATTCCCTAACATTATCACATGTACAAATTATAGGAACAGTCTTAAACCTTTGGAAGGAGTAGTGACTTTTCTTGAAAATGACCTTAACTTTATTGTGAAACGAGATTGTCAGAGAGGTGCCTTCACAGAGCTGGAGTGTTGCTATAAGGGTGAGGAAGGGATGTATGTTGTATCTAAAGTCTGATCTGTTTAAAGTTATACAATCATGTTCAAAGACTACCATAGTTATCGTGCAATAAGCCCCAACACATAATCATTGACTCAGTATAGGGGTAGGGGGCTTATTACAGGACAACAAAATCCAATGGCCCTTACTGATCAGTTGTGATAGGGATGGGGTTATTACCAGGCATGGTATTGTTGTCGAATTAACTCTGTAAATATGTATGCTATATTCTCAAATAAATACTATTTCTGTTAATGACACATTTCTCTTTATATCACATATCCATCTGATAAATGATACATGATATAAAAAGGAATTTATCCTACAATTTGTTGGTGTAGTATTGGTAGTAAGCTTCGTCAACGTTACATAACTAGTAATAAGTCTGTGTAAAGTGTAGGTAAACTCTATTCGTTTGATTTCTCAGTAAGGTTTAGTTGTGTCGGATATTGTTTTGTTCAATAAACTTTTGTTGTATACAGCAAGTTGTTCCTTAAGTCAACTTTGATTGTGTATATCATTACTTTAGTCTATCAGCTTTGATTGTGTTTATCATTACTTTAGTCTATCAGCTTTGGTTGTGTACATCATTACTTTAGTCTATCAGCTTTGATTGTGTTTATCATTACTTTAGTCTATCAGCTTTGGTTGTGAATATCATTACTTTAGTCTATCAGCTTTGGTTTTGTATATCATTTCTTTAGTCTATCAGCTTTGATTGTGTATACCATTACTTTAGTCTATCAGCTTTGATTGTGTATATCATTGCTTTAGTCTATCAGCTTTGATTGTGTATATCATTACATTAGTCTATCAGCTTTGATTGTGTATATCATTGCTTTAGTCTATCAGCTTTGGTTGTGTATATCATTCCTTTAGTCTATCAGCTTTGATTGTGTATATCATTGCTTTAGTCTATCAGCTTTGGTTGTGTTTATCATTACTTTAGTCTATCAGCTTTGGTTGTTTATATCATTACTTTAGTCTATCAGCTTTGATTTTGTATATCATTACTTTAGTCTATCACCTTTGGTTGTGTATATCATTACCTTAGTCTATCAGCTTTGGTTGTGTATATCATTTCTTTAGTCTATCAGCTTTGATTGTGTATACCATTACTTTAGTCTATCAGCTTTGATTGTGTATTTCATTACTTTAGTCTATCAGCTTTGGTTGTGAATATCATTACTTTAGTCTATCAGCTTTGATTTTGTATATCATTCCTTTAGTCTATCAGCTTTGGTTGTGTATATCATTCCTTTAGTCTATCAGCTTTGATTGTGTATATCATTGCTTTAGTCTATCAGCTTTGGTTGTGTTTATCATTACTTTAGTCTATCAGCTTTGGTTGTGAATATCATTACTTTAGTCTATCAGCTTTGATTTTGTATATCATTACTTTAGTCTATCACCTTTGGTTGTGTATATCATTACTTTAGTCTAGCAGCTTTGATTGTGTATATCATTACTTTAGTCTATCATCTTTGGTTGTGTATATCATTACTTTAGTCTAGCAGCTTTGATTGTGTATATCATTACTTTAGTATATCAGCTTTGATTGTGTATATCATTACTTTAGTATATCAGCTTTGATTGTGTATATCATTACTTTAGTATATCAGCTTTGATTGTGTATATCATTACTTTAGTCTATCAGCTTTGGTTTTATGTAGGCTATTCCTTAAGTCCACCTTGACAATGAAGGTCTTAATTGGCTGTAGTCAATCTGCTATGGTTATAGGTTGTTCCTTTAATTGATAAACTTTAGTTGTGTAGGTTGTTTCTTTAGTCAGTCAGTTTACTGATCCCTTTCCCACTGAAGACTTTCGTATACACTGTATACAATAACCTCGCCAGACTTTAGTTTCCAATATAACTAGCACATTTTGGCCAATACACTTCCTTTGACCTGGAAGCACAGTTAGTAAGAGCAACCATATAACAATCTGAGGTCAACAGATGATGAGTTGGTTTTTGGCAGTAGAACAGGGATCCTACAGTTATGAAGGTTCTTAACTGAAGGATTGACCTTCATTTTGATGGCGTATACATAGTATGAATGCAGTTGGCAACAAACAACTCCGTCGAGCCTTTTTCCACTGCCTATACACTAGTTTATACGCAGTCAGAGTTATCTCAGCTGTAGAAGGCCGGGAGACATGTATGTTATGAGAGTTGTTCCATTAGTCAGTCAGCTTAATTAGTACTGGTAGTTGACCTTATACCATCAGCTGCAGTTACACAATGTGACATACCACTGTTTTATGTGACAAATTGTACCATCACCAGTATAACAGGAAGCCTTGTTGTGTTTGTTTACTGTTTGGTATTGTGGTTGCCATGGAAATGCTGACATAAGTACAGAAATTATTTGAGTGATTTAACTGACGAAGGTACCAGCACGCTGCAATAGTTTGTAAATGTAAAGCTGAGGAGAAAGTACCCATGAATGTCTTAGGTTTTACAGTAAATGTAGGATTTATTGATATGCAAGCAAAACTCCAGGCAAATCAATTTAAAACAGTACAGCAACTGAATTGAGTCCTTATAATCTGGAATTCTGAAGGAATTTGCCATGATATGACTACGAAAAGCAGGCTAAGGCATATTAGGGCATTTTGAGTCATATTGAGGCCAATTTTCCAGAAAAAATATCACACCCCCATGTTTTCATTAGAAACATTCTCATTTGAGTCAAAACATACCATAAAATTATATTTATGGAAGGAAAAGTGTGTTTACTTTAGAAATAGATGATTAAATTAGTACTTTATCGCAGTAAGGGTTGGGGAGTCTCTAAGTCTCTACACACAGCTATGATAAGCTTCAAGATTCATCAATTTGTACCTGTATTTAGCTAATAGTCTGGAGATTCTTAAGTCAATTTATTTTGCCCCTATAGAATTTAAGATATGCCATACTGTGAAGGGTTTTGACAAATTGTTTGGAGCAAATATATGTAAATGTAGAGTTATGGCCCTTTAAATGTTTCGCTCCAGAACCTTGTAAACTCATCTTCTGCTTATATTACAGTTTGTTGATTATTTTAGCTCACCTGGAAATGTGCATGAAGAAAAGAATTTGTGATTTAACTATTTTACCTGGAGTTATGGCCCTTGAAACGTTTATTTTTGCTTCATGTTTGCACAAGCAGGGGGTATATCTTTGTGAGCTCACTCTTTTTTTTTTCGTAAGTTCTGATACACAAATGGAAGTATTGGAAACTACATTTTTGCGTTCAGTATTGAAGATAAGTAAAACTTCTTTCCATACTTTTTGACTGATGTTAAAACTTAAATAAACATTCAGATGATAGCTTTAAGCTTTTAAGTTAAGATAAACAAGCACAGAAATAGAGACATACCAGCTCGCTTTAGCATCTATACTACATTCAGCAAAATTACTCAAGCTCAGAAAGTGGAAGAATATCTTCTCAGTTTACCTGGTAAACCATAAGACCGCCAGTCTGATTGTTTCTGTAGCGTCAGAAGACAACCAGGTTGATGGTTTGATGGGGTTACCAACTGGGTTTCAGAAGTACAAGGCAGATGCACTCAACTGTAGCAGAAAACACTCCACGGTGCCAAGGACAAAACTAAACAGCCAGAAAAGGATCAAAATTAGCAGACGCAGCTGCCCACTTAGAGAAAGCCTAGTTAGTTTTTTTTTAAAGTCAAATAAAACTATTTACATAATGGACATTAATGGATATTAACCATTATCCTGAATGAAACTGAACTGTGTTGGTATATTCAAACTCTGTTAGTTCGAAAATTGATAAAATAGATATATTAAAAGATTCAGATTTCAAACTTTTATTTTTGAAACTTTTTTGCACGGTTCTAAAGAGTCTATAAATATAACAGGTCCTGTTATCCTAACTGCCAGGGTGTAGTTTTGGGAGTTAATCATCAGCTACCAGGTGCAGCAGCCAGTCACTGGAGTTTATTGGTATACACATTTTGATCCTCCAACAGAGGAGAGCTCTATTATTGCTGTGTATCACCCTGGCACAACTGGGATGTACACTGTGCTGTGATGCGGTGAGACCAAGCTGTTATTACAAGTATTGGTTTTAGTATAGCAGGCCTTGCTAGGTTATACGCGTGATGGTTTTCTGAGTTGTGCTGAGAGTTCTTGGATCCCTTATATTTGCAGAAACTGGTATGTATTCACAATTGCTGTTCCACTGGATGCTTTTGCATTTCAGAAAATTGTTTTACTGATTGATAGATTAAATTGTTTTCAAATTTCAGTTTAGAAACAAATGAACTAGTGTAGTGTCTTTCTTCAAAGAGGAGTTCCTTCAAAGCTGGATTTACCAAAGAGACTTCAAAGTTTCCATATACAAACTTAAATGGAACTGAATGCGTTCCACAATTCTGTACATGGATTGTATGCAGATTGATTGTTTTGAGATATGAATATTCATGAAGCT